CCGAAGTCGGACACGTCCACGGCCCTGTCCCAGGAGCCTGCTGGGGACACGGAGCAGCCCGGGGTCACCCCAAGACTGGACACCCCAAAACCCCAGCGGGGAGCTGCCCTTACCCTTCTTCTTCATCATCTCAGCAGGGCCCTGCTCGAAGATGGAGTGGGACTGGATGACCTCGGGCCGGCTGCGGCCCCGGCCGTGCCCGTCCCGCTGCCGCTCGCGCTCCTTCTTCTCCTTCTTCACCGACACGTCCTCGCGGGGCCTGGCCACAAATGGGGCACAAATGGGGCACAAATGGGGCACAAATGGGGCACAAATGGGGGAAATGGGGGGAACAAATGGGGGCACAAATGGGGCACAAATGGGGGCACAAATGGGGGCACAAATGGGGGCACAAATGGGGGCACAAATGGGGCACAAATGGGGCCACAAATGGGGCACAAATGGGGGCACAAATGGGGGCACAAATGGGGGAAATGGGGGGCACAAATGGGCCACAAATGGGGCCACAAATGGGGCACAAATGGGGCACAAATGGGGCACAAATGGGGCACAAATGGGGCACAAATGGGGGCACAAATGGGGCACAAATGGGGCACAAATGGGGGAAATGGGGGCACAAATGGGGCACAAATGGGGGCACAAATGGGGGCACAAATGGGGGCACAAATGGGGCACAAATGGGGCACAAATGGGGCACAAATGGGGGCACAAATGGGGGCACAAATGGGGGCACAAATGGGGGCACAAATGGGGGTACAAATGGGGCACAAATGGGGCACAAATGGGGGAAATGGGGGCACAAATGGGGCACAAATGGGGGAAATGGGGGGCACAAATGGGGGCACAAATGGGGGCACAAATGGGGGGAATGTGGGGCATGGGGGGAATGGGGTGAACAGGGGCAATGGGGGGCATAGGGGGAATGAGTGGCACGGGGGACACAGGGGGCATGGGGAGAATGGGGGGCATGGGGGGAATGGGGGGCACGGGGGGAACGGGGGGCACATCAGCCCCAGCCCTGCCCCACGGCCCTGCCAGGACCCAGAGGCTTGGGAGGAGATCCCTGGACAGCACCCGGAGGTACTTGTGTGGATATTTGGGATATTTATATGGAATTCTGAGATATTTATATGGATATTTGGGATATTTCCATGGATATCTGTGATATTTCCGTGGATAGCTGAAATATTTACATGAATATTTGGGGTATTTATATGGAATTCTGAGATATTTATATGAATATTTGAGATATTTATATGGAATTCTGAGATATTAATATGGATATTTGGTGTTATATATAATATAATATAATATAATATAATATAATATAATATAATATAATATAATATAATATAATATAATATAATATAATATAATATAATATAATATCATATCATATCATATCATATCATATCATATCATATCATATCATCATATATTATATGGATATTTGCGATATTTATATGAAATTCTGAGATATTTATATGAATATCTGGGATATCTCAGACATTTCCATGGATATTTATACAAATTTCTGAGAATTTCCATGTATATTTGGGATATTTATATGGATATTTGGGATATTTCTATGGATATTCAGGATATTTATATGGAATTCTGAGATATTTATATGAACATTTGGGATATCTCCGACATTTCCATGGATATTTGGGATATTTATACAAATTTCTGAGAATTTCCATGGATATTTATACAAATTTCTGAGAATTTCCATGGATATCTGTGATATTTCCATGGATATTTGGGATATCTTTATGGATATTCAGGATATTTATATGGAATTCTGATACATTTACATGAACATTTGGGATATCTCCATGGATATCTCAGCCATTTCCATGGATATCTGGGATATTTCTATGGATCCCCTCTCACTCCTCCCTTCTCCAACCCAACCAGTCCCACTTCCCACAACCTCCCCCCCTCACAAAACCCTCCAGCCCCCCAAAAACCATCCCCGTGCCCCCTTTTTGTACCCACGGGGACCCCCCTCGTGCCCACTCACTCCTCCTTGATCTTCCTGCTGATGATGTTGGGGGCGAAGGTTTTCTGTGGGCAGAGAGAAGAAAAAATCACCCCAAAATCCCCTCCAGGCTCTGTCACCACCCCAAATCCCGGCCGGGGACGGGGAGTGACCCCAATTTTGGGGGGAAAAAGGGGGTCTCACCTTTTTGACGCCGCCCAGGGTGAGGTCCCGGGAGCGGATGGAGGGCAGGCGGCCGGGGCTGAGTTGGGGGGCAGCAGTGGGGCGCCGGCCCAGCACCCCCCGGAGCCCCGGGCGGGCACTGCCCGGCGAGCCCGAGCTGCCAGAGCCCCCCTCGGCCATCCTGCGGGCAGGGGGAGGCTTCAGGGGGGCTGCACCAATCCCAAACTGGGCTCGGTTCTGCTCAAATCCCAATAATTAACCCCAAACTGGGCTCAGTTCTGCTCAAATCCCAATAACCAACCCCAAACTGGGCTCGGTTCTGCTCAAATCCCAGTAACAGAACCCAAACTGGGCTCAGTTCTGCTCAAATCCCAGTAACAAACCCCAAACTGGGCTCAGTTCTGCTCAAATCCCAGTAACAGACCCCAAACTGGGCTCAGTTCTGCTCAAATCCCAATAATTAACCCCAAACTGGGCTCAGTTCTGCTCAAATCCCAGTAACAGACCCCAAACTGGGCTCAGTCCTGCACAAATCCCAATAATTAACCCCAAACTGGGCTCGGTTCTGCACAAATCCCAGTAACGGAACCCAAACTGGGCTCGGTTCTGCTCAAATCCCAGTAACAGACCCTAAACTGGGCTTGGTTCTGCTCAAATCCCAGTAACGGAACCCAAACTGGGCTCAGTCCTACATAAACCCCAGTAACAGACCCCAAACTGGGCTCAGTTCTACACAAATCCCAAAAATGGTCCCCAAATATGGGCCACTCCTACACAAATCCCAATAACGGACCCAAAACAGGGCTCAGTCCTACACAAACCCCAATAATGGACCCCAAACTGGGCTCAGTTCTGCACAAATCCCAGTAACAGACCCCAAACTGGGCTCGGTTCTACTCAAATCCCAATAATTAACCCCAAACTGGGCTCGGTTCTGCTCAAATCCCAATAATTAACCCCAAACTGGGCTTGGTTCTGCTCAAATCCCAATAATTAACCCCAAACTGGGCTCAGTTCTGCTCAAATCCCAGTAACTGACCCCAAACTGGGCTCAGTCCTACATAAACCGCAGTAACAGACCCCAAACTGGGCTCGGTTCTGCTCAAATCCCAATAATTAACCCCAAACTGGGCTCAGTTCTGCTCAAATCCCAATAATTAACCCCAAACTGGGCTTGGTTCTGCACAAATCCCAATAACCAACCCCAAATTGGGCTCGGTTCTGCACAAATCCCAGTAATGAACCCCAAATATGGCTCAGTCCTACACCCACCCCAATAATGAACCCCCTGTGCCCCCAAATAGGGTCCATGTGTAGCCCCCTCCCCAGGGGTCTCAGCCCCCCATACAGGACCCCTTGCCCCCCATACACCCCAAACAGGACCCCTTGTCCCCTCCCCAGGGATCTCAGCCCCTCCATACACCCCAAACAGGACCCCTTGCACCCCATATACCCCAAACAGGACCCCTTGCCCCCTCCCCAGGGGTCTCAGCCCCCCATACACCCCAAACAGGACCCCTTGCACCCCAAACAGGACTCCTTGTCCCCCTCCCCGGGGGTCTCAGCCCCCCTATACACCCCAACCAGGACCCCTTGCCCCCCAAACAGGACCCCTTGCCACCCTCCCCGGGGGTCCCAGCCCCCCCATACACCCTAAGCAGGACCCCTTATCCCCCATACACCCTAAACAGGACCCCTTGCCCCCCATACACCCCAAACAGGACCCCTTGCCCCCCAAAGAGGATCCCTTGCCCCCCTCCCCGGGGGTCTCAGCCCCCCCATACACCCCAAACAGGACCCTTTGTCCCCTATAGACCCCAAACAGGACCCCTTGCCCCCCTCCCAGAGGCTCCCAGCCCCCCCCCCCCCGTTCCCCCAGCCCCCCCTCATCCCCCTCCCCAGGGGTTCGGACCCCCCTGCCCCACCCCCGACCCCCCAAAACCCCCTGGCAGCCCCCCCCTCACGGGCCTCCAGCCCCCTCCTTGTCCCCCTCTCCCCCTTGCGCACCCCCAAAGCGGACCCACCCTCCCCCCGCCACCCAGGGGGACCCCCCCTGCTCGCTGCCCCTCCTCGCACCCCTCAGGACCCCCGGGACCCCCCAAAATCCTCCCCCAGCCCCGCCACGCCGCCCCTCACCCTGCCCGGGCAGCCACGGGCTCGCCGCCCCCACTGCGCATGCGTTACGCACGCCGCGCTCTTCCTGAGGCGACGCTGCCACCGCCATCTTTGCTGAGGGCACGGCGGGTTTGGCAATGAGCTGCCATCTTTGTGGTTGGCATTGCCCGATCCGGTGTGAAGGCGGTGGCGCCATCTTTGTGACGGGCAGTGCCCTGCTCTCCAACCAGGGCAGCGGGGGCAGCGCTGTGGGGGGACATTTTTGGGGGGTCACTCAGCCTTTCATTTAACACCCTCACGGGATTCCTGCAGTGCGACCACCCCCTCAGGGTCCTCTCAGCCTCACAGCCGGCACCCCCACAGAGAGGGTTCATGCGTGAGCACCCCCTCGCAGAAATTTGGGGGGCAATGAGGTTTTTGGGGTGCTCTCCCACTCGCCCACCCGAAAAAAGATTTTCCCCTACAAGAAGGGTGTTTAATACGTGCAAAGCAAAAAGTCCGTCCGTCCGTCCCCCGTGGGCTCTGCACCCCATTCCCGCGGGGGTCCTGTGTGGGTACCAGCATTCCCACGCACCTCATCCATCCCATTTTTGGGGCCGGGAGGGGGTGTCCCCATTGTCCCGCAAGCGGCACAGCCGGGACAATCCCTCCCCCCCGACCCCAAAACTGGGGGGGAACAGGCAGAACCTGCCCACCACCCACCCCCAATCTGCGCCCACATCCCACTCTGCCTCCATCACCTGACGCCGCACGCATCCCTCCATGCCATTGGCAGAACCGGGAGGTTTTTCCTTCCTCCCCCTTCTCTCCCAGCTCCTTGGATATCTATTTTTTCCCTTTTTTTTTTTTTTTTTTCTCTCCTCTCCCTCCTCTGGAGGGTGTTTGCTATTTCCGAGCTGGCTGGGAGGATCCCAGTCGCATCAGCCGCAGGCAGCGACGCGGCATCGCCGGGTACCACCTCGATCCCTCCGGCATCCTCCGTCCTTCCCGCTTGGATCAGCCCCGCCGGGGCTCTCTGTCCTGCCCTGCCGCTCCACCGGCACCCCCGCTCCTCCCGGCAGCCCCCCGCCACGGCCAGGTAAGGCCCTCACCGGCTCGGTGCCACCGGAGCGGCCACCGAGCCCCGCTGGCGTTGGGGCGACATCCCGATGGCACCGCCGAGGGATGCTCGGAGGGCAGGGGGGACACGGGGGGGCACTGAGGGCTGGCAGAGGGGACACGAGGCACCGGGGACACGGTGACACGGTCCAGCTGGCACAATCCCGGTGCAGAATTCCTGCGCCACCTCCGGGAACGGGAGCGGGGCAGCGAGGTGGCACCGTGTCCCCAGAGCGGTGACCTTCTGCCGTGCCCAAGGGCTTTGGGGGTTTTAGGGGGGGTGACAGCGGTTTTGGGCTGCGCAGATGGGGGGGACACGTGGCCGTGGGTGGCCGTGGGTGGCCGTGGGTGCCGAGTGACGGGACACGCGCGGCTGAGCCCGGCGTGGGTGGCCGTGGGCACACGGAGGGGATGGTGGGGGGGTGGCACCTTGGCAGCCCCGCGGTGCCACCGCTGCCCCCGCACAAACCCGAAGGTTTTGGGGAGGGGGGGCACGCTCACTTCCAGCCTCCCATTCCCGTGCCGTGACTGTGACTCCGTGTCCCCCCTCCACGAGCATCGCCCCCCCCTCAAAAAGCACCTTCCTGGTGGGTGCAGGGAAACTGAGGCACGGGCCGGGGCAAAGGCGGATCCAGCTTTTCCAGTGCCTGCGTCCAACCCTCCCCTCTCCCAGCAACTCCCTCGGCTCTCCCCTTGTTTTTCTTTCCCCACCCGGTGTTGAGCAAACCCCGAAACGCCCGCTGGCGTCGCGCCGGGGCCCCGCGGCACCCGGGGGAGCGGCCGGGGCCCCCGCACCCGACCGGGCTTGTTCCCGGCGTCCCGCTGCCTGCTCCTGCCTGCGCTGCCCATTCCTGGCTCCCGGCCGCTTTGCCAGCCCGCTGCCATCTGCTCCGCCGCGGGGCGGCCTTGGCACGGCCGCCGTGGGCAGCCAGAGGGGTTCGGCACCCCCAAAACCCCCGCGCTGTGCCCGCAGGAGCTCAGCCCCTCCGGCCATGGAGCTGCTCTCCACCCCCAAAAACATCGAGATCAACAACATCACCTGCGATTCCTTCCGCATCTCCTGGGCTATGGAGAAGGGGGACCTGGAGAGGGTCACCCACTACTTCATCGACCTCAACAAGAAGGAGAACAAGAATTCCAACAAGTTCAAGCACCGGGTGAGCCGGGGGAGGACGCGGGACCCCCTGCCCGGGCAGAGGAGACGCGGTTGGGAGGGAGGAACTGGCTCTTCGCCCTCTCTAGCGCTGAATTTGGGTCATTCCCCTGACGGGACACGCCGGCGGAGGAGGCTGGGATGGGGATCGGGGGTGACGGACCCGGCGGAGCCCCCGCGGGGGAGCGGAGCCGCTCCTGCTCCCCCTCCCCGCGCTGCGAGTCACCAATTCGGGCCGTTTTTAGCAGCGCCGTTGCCACGGTGATGCTATTTAATGTTTAACATTGTTTTTTTTTCTCTCCTCCCCAATAATAAGGGGTGGTGGGGGGGGTGGAGGGGGGGTGGGATATTTTTTTCCCCTCTATCTCCCGACTTCAGCATCCGCCGTTGCCACAGAAACGGCTCTGCACTGCGGAGCTGCTCCGTGGCCTATTGACACCGCGAGATGCCACCGGGAGCGGGGGGCACCCCGAGACCACCCCCACCTCCGGGACCCCGTGTCCCTATTGCCACCGGGAGTTGGGGACACCCCGAGACCACCCCCACCTCGGGGACCCCGTGTCCCCATGGCCACCGGGAGCGGGGGGGCACCCCGAGACCACCCCCACCTCGGGGACCCCCTGTCCCCATCGCCACCCACCGGGAATTTGGGGCACCCCGAGACCACCCCCACCTGGGGGACCCCCTGTCCCCATCGCGGCAGGGAGCGGGGGACACCCCGAGACCACCCCCACCTCCGGGACCCCGTGTCCCTATTGCCACCGGGAGTTGGGGACACCCCGAGACCACCCCCACCTCCGGGACCCCCTGTCCCCATCGCGGCAGGGAGCGGGGGGCACCCCGAGACCACCCCCACCTCGGGGACCCCATGTCCACCGGGAATTGGGGGCACCCCGAGACCACCCCCACCTCGGGGACCCCGTGTCCCCATCGCGGCAGGGACACGTTTGGGGACAGCGCTGTGGGGACAGAGCGTGGGGGGCAGCCCCAGCCGCGTCACACGATGTTTTGGGGGGGGTCCCCGTGGATATTTTGGGGGGTCCCCGTGGATATTTCGGGGGTGCGGTGCCCGCTGGCGGTGCGGGCGGTGCGGTGCTGTCCCGCCTGACCCCCGGCGCTCGGAGCAGGATGTCCCCACCAAGCTGGTGGCCAAGGCGGTGCCGCTGCCCATGACGGTGCGGGGCCACTGGTTCCTGAGCCCCCGCACCGAGTACAGCGTGGCCGTGCAGACGGCGGTCAAGCAGAGCGACGGCGAGTACCTGGTGTCCGGTTGGAGCGAGACCGTGGAGTTCTGCACCGGGGGTGAGCGGCACCGAGCCGGGAGGGAATTTGGGGGCGCTCCCGGAGCCCGGAGGGAGGATGGGGGCGATCCCAGGAGGAGGATGGGGGCGATGCTGGGAGCCGGGAGGGAGGATGGGGTTGATGTTCCCGCAGTCAGGAGCTGGGCCGGGGGGTGGGGACGGTGCCGGGAGCTGGGAGGAGGATGGAGGCGATGCTGGGAGCCGGGAGGATGAGGAGGACCGGGGAAAAGCCCAGAGCTGGGAGCCAGGAGGGAGGATGGGGTTGATGGGCTGGGAGATGGAAAAGGGAAGAGGGAAATTCCTGGGGCTGAGAGGGAGGACGGGGATGGTGCCTGGAATTGGGAGATGGAAAAGGGAAGAGGGCAACGCCTGGAGCTGAGAGGGAGGACGGGGATGGTGTATGGAATTGCGAGATGGAAAAGGGAAGAGGGCAATTCCTGGGGCTGAGAGGGAGGACGCGGATGGTGCCCGGAATTGGGAGATGGAAAAGGGAAGAGGGAAATTCCTGGGGCTGAGAGGGAGGACGGGGATGGTGCCGGGAGCTGGGAGATGGAAAAGGGAAAAGGGCAATGCCTGGGGCTGAGAGGGAGGACGGGGATGGTGCTGGAGCTGGGAGAGGGAAGAGGGAGAACAGGGGCGACCGCAGGAGTCGGGAGCGAGAGGAGGTCAGTGCTGGGAGCCACGGGGCAAATCGGGGCTGATGTCGGGAGCCACGAGCCGGGAGAGAGGATGGGGGAAATGCTGGGAGCTGGGAGGCCGGAGGAGGACGGGGGCGATGCCGGGAGCTGGCACAAGCCGGGCCGGTTGGAGCGGCAGCTGCTGAGTGGGAGGTGCGGGGAGCTGTGGGCAGGGATGGGCTGCTGGAGGGGGATGGAGACGCCCTGATGTCCCCGTGCCTGTCCCCAGACTACGCCAAGGAGCACCTAGCCCAGCTGCAGGAGAAAGCAGAGCTGATTGCCGGCCGCATGCTGCGCTTCTCCGTCTTCTACCGCAACCAGCACAAGGAGTACTTCCAGCACGTCAGGTACCCCCGGCCCCATTCCCCGCGCTCCCCTCTGCCAGAGCGCACTCCCTGACCCTGCCTGTGCCTGTCTGTGTGTCTCTCCTCCTCCTCCTCCTCCTCCTCCTCCTCCTCCTCCTCCTCCTCCTCCTCCTCGTGGCAGGATGCACTGCGGGAACGTGATGAAGCCGTCGCTGAAGGACAACAGCGGGAGCCACGGCTCGCCCACCAGCGGGATGCTGCACGGCATCTTCTTCAGCTGCAACACCGAGTTCAACACCGGGCAGCCCCCGCAGGACTCGCCCTACGGCCGGTACCGCTTCCAAATCCCGGCTCAGCGCCTCTTCAACCCCAACACCAACCTCTACTTCGCGGACTTCTACTGCATGTACACCGCCTACCACTACGTCGTGCTGGTCCTGGCACCCAAGGGATCCTCCGGGGATCTCTTCTGCAGGGAGCGCCTTCCCCAGCTGGACATTTCCTCCAACAAGTTCCTGACGTGCTGCGTGGAGGAGGGCGAGCTGGTGTACCGCCACGCCCAGGACAGCATCCTGGAGGTCATTTACACCGAGCCGGTGGACCTGAGCCTCGGCGTGCTGGGGGAGATCAGCGGCCACCAGCTCATGAGCCTCTCCACCGCCAACGCCAAAAAGGACCCCAGCTGCAAGACGTGCAACATCAGCGTGGGGCGTTAAGCGCTGAAGGCGGGCAGGGCCGGGCAGGGGGACTGCAGCTCGCCGCGGGGGCTTCTCCCACGGACGCTGGTGGGTGGAGGACGCGGGTGGGCTCGGGGGATCCGAGGAAGGAGCCGGCGGGATGCTGGTCCGGCAAGGAGGCAGAGCCGTGCGCTCCGAGGGAGGAAAACTTCATCTCCTGGACTGGCCGACCGGCAGCGTCCTCACCGGCGTGAGCCCCGCGCTCTGCCCCGCTCCGAGCAGCCGCTGCGGGACCCCCTTTCCCTCCGGCGTCCCCCGCATCCCCCCGCCGCAGCTCCCGGGGAGCCCCGGCCCTGCCAGCCGGGACTGGGGCTCCCCGGCTCTATCCAGGGGGTTCAGGGAGATATCGGAAGCACCCCCTGGTTTTGAACACGGGGGGTGCTCAGACAGGGACCCCCGCGGGGCCGCAGTGGCGTGGGGGACCCTGGGCGTGCCCCCGTGTCCTGTCCCCTCTGCTCTGCCCCCCCTGCACCGCCCGAGACCCCGCGGCCCCGGAGGCAGCCGGAGGAGCCGGGGAAGGGGAGAACGGATCCGAACCGCCCCCCTCCCTCCCCGTGCCCCCCCCCAGCATGAGCCGTCGGCAGCATGGCGCTTGCGTGCGGCCCCCCCCACCCCGGGGTGCCCGCCCCCCGTCTCTGTGTCCCCCCTGCACGCTGTACAACAACCGGCTCCCCGTCCCCGAGCATCCCTGTGCTGTGCTGGAGGTGTTTCAATAAACTCTGTGCGGTCGCCACCGGCCGTGTCACGCGCCTCTGTCCCCCCACGGGACCCCAAAAAGTGGCTCAGACCCCCCCCTCCCACCCTCCCACCCCCCGATCCGGCTCAGGGGAATGGGGGATGGGACTGGGAGGGGACAAGGTGGCCCTCAGAAAAGTTCAGATTGGAAGGGCCTTCCTGGAGATCACCAGCTCCATCCCACCCGCCCAGGCAGGGTCACCGGGATCGGGTGGCATTAGGAGCACGTCCCAGTGGGTTTGGAATGTCGCCAGAGAGGGAGACTCCACCCTTCACCCTTCCCCGGGGCTGTCCCTCCACGGAAAGAAGTTCATCCTCAGGTTGAGGTGGAACTTCTCTTTTTGTTTGTGCCCATTTCTCCATCCTATCACTGAAAAATCCCCCGAGTTCCGCACCCCCTTTTTCAACCCCTCTGGACGAAAAGCCCCGGTGCCCATCCCGGTTCTGCCTGGGCACAGCCCCTCGGGAGCAGCGCAGCCCTGGCACAAAGAGGGAAGAGGAGCCTCCCCGTGGCACCAGCAGCGGGCACGGGGTGCGGGAAGGATCGTGGCAGGCGGGAACACGCGGTGGGCGCGGGGGCCGTGGCACAGCCCACCCTCCATCTGCCACCGCCGCCTGGAACACGCGGTGGGCACCGCACGTGGCACCCACCCACCCCCGGCGGGTGCTCTTGTGCCTCGGAGACACCTCAAAATAAAGGTGTGGGGGCAGAGAACCCCCCTGCAGAGTCCTGGGGGGCAGGGGGCTCCGAGCCCACCGCCCGCTGGCACCAGGAGAAGGTCTGGCTGCTCCTTGGCTGGAATTCCGGGCTCTGCTCCATCAGAACCCCAAGGATGGGGCTCCTCCCGTAGGATTTGGCTCCGTGCAGGGTCCTGGCTGCTTCCCCCCCAGCCCAGCCCCATTTTGGGGGCTGTTTTGCTGGGCTGGAAGCAAAGAGGCCGGGGCTGCCCCCCGCTCCAAGTACAAGGGTATTTATTTCATGGGTACAAGAGAGAGACAGCACCTTGTGTGTGTTGGGCTCTTCCCGGTTACTGGTTTGTACATTCAGAGCTTTGGCCGGGGCAGGGGAGGGGCAGCGGGTCCTGCTCGACCCCCCCCCAGCACCGGGGTGGGCGGCTGCCAGCGGGGACCCCCCTGTGCCCCCCGTGCCGTGGGTGCCCGAGCCCCGGGGCCCCGTGCGAGCGTGTCTTGAGTGCTGAGGTTGGCTGTGTGCTCCTCCTCCGTGCAGTCTGTGCGGGGCAGCGCTGCCCTCCTCTTCCTCCTCTTCCTCCTCCTCCTCCTCCTCCTCCTCCTCCTCCTCCTCCTCCTGCCCTGCCCGCGGCGGGGCCGGGACCCCCGGCCCTCATTTCCTCGTGTGCAGCGTGTCCTGGAACTTGGTGCTGGTGTAGCGAAGGTGGAAACCCTTCTTGTTGATGGTGTCGTCAGAGTGGAAGCGGATCATCACCGAGTCTCCGGCCGAGTACACCTCCTCGGGGGGCTGCGGGGGACAGGGAGCGGCCGCTCGGATCCACGAGCACCCCCGGGGCGAGCACCCACCACTCAGATCCACGAGCACCCCCGGGGCGAGCACCCACCGCTCGGATCCATGAGCACCCACCGCTCGGATCCACGAGCACCCCCGGGGAGAGCACCCACTGCTCAGATCCACGAGCACCCACCGCTCGGATCCACGAGCACCCCCGGGGCGAGCACCCACCGCTCGGATCCATGAGCACCCCCGGGGCGAGCACCCACTGCCCAGATCCACGAGCACCCACCGCTCGGATCCACGAGCACCCCCGGGGCGATCACCCATGGCGGGTGGGAATATTTGCGCTGCGGAGGGTGGGGATGGTCCCGCCAGACCAAATCCCCGCGGGGATTTCTCCTCACCGCTCTGCTCGGCCTCATCCATCACCCCACAGCCTCGCTCCTCGCCCCCAGCCCGACCCACCCCGTGTGCCCCCCGTGCCGAGCTCACCCCGGACCCGCAGAAGCGGCCGAGGCGCGGGGCCGTCCCGTCGTAGCCGTCGAACAGCTCCATGTAGTCGTACCCACAGTCGGCCTCCTCCTCGATCTCGAAGGTCTGGAAGATGAGCTCCACGCCAAAACCCTCCTCGGCCATGATCACCCACTCGCAGTCCGAGCCCCCCGGGTAGTTGTTGTCCCCAAATTGTGCGTGGGAATACAAGTCCTTGGTCTTCACCTCGGCACGCACCTGGCCCCCGCACACTGTGGGAGAAGCCGAGGTTTAGGGGTGCCCACGCTGTCCCCACACCCCAAAACCCCATTTTCCAGCCCCACAGCACACCTGGCCCCTGCACACTGTGAGAGAAGCCGAGGTTTAGGGGTGCTCACACTGTCCCCACACCCCAAAACCCCATTTCCCAGCCCCACAACGCACTTAGCCCCCGCACACTGTGGGAGAAGCCGAGGTTTAGGGCCGCTCACGCTGTCCCCACACCCCAAAACCCCATTTCCCAGCCCCACAACTCACCTGGCCCCTGCACACTGCAGGACAAGCTGAGGTTTAGGGCCACTCACACTGTCCCCACACCCCAAAACCCCATTTCCCAGCCCCACAACACACTTAGCCCCTGCACACTGTGGGAAAAGCTGAGCTTTAGGGCTGCTCACGCTGTCCCCACACCCCAAAACCCCATTTCCCAGCCCCACAACTCACCTGGCCCCCACACACTGTAGGAGCTTTAGGGCTGCTCACGCTGTCCCCTACCCCAAAACCCCATTTCCCAGCCCCACGGAGGTACCTGTGGTGTGAGTGGCCTCAAATCCCTTCTTCTGGATGGAGTTATCCGACACGAACTTGAGGAACATCTTGTTGCCGGAGGAGACGATGGGCTCGGGCTCCTTGGCCCCGCAGAAGCGGCCGAGCGCCGGGGCCTTGGCGTCCTTCCCGTCGAAGATCTCCAGGTGGTCGTAGGTACATTCCTGCTGCGCCTCCACGTCCAGCTCCGAGAAGACCTGTGGAGCTTCTGGGTGAGCTGGAGGCTCGGCATAGAGGACCCCGGTGTCCCTCACCCCAACCAACCCCTACCAGCTTGATGCGGTGGCCCGGCGTGGTGCTGATGGCCCAGGTGCACTCCTTCTTGCTGGGGTATTTATCGGGCCAGTTGGGGCTGGTGATGGTCCCCGAGATGGATGTCACCTTGTGGTCACAGCCAGCTGCCGGGACAGCGAGGAGGGTCACGGAGGGGCGGGTGGGAGGTTCCCAGGGGATGGGGAGGGGGCTGCACCCACCTTCCTTGCAGTCGTGCTTGTTGTCGTGCAGCACGAAGCCGCTGCGGCACTGGCACTCGTAGCTGCCGAAGGAGTTGAGGCACTCGTGCTGGCAGCCCCCATTGTTCTTGGAGCACTCATCCTTGTCTGGGAGAGAGCAGAGGGATCCCTGAGTGGTTTGGGAGAACCTGGAATGGTGAAATTCCATCCCTCCAGCCTCCCCACCCAAGCCCTGCGACCCTCCAGCCAAGCAAGCGACCCCCGGCAGCAGCAAGCAGCTCCAGCCCCCGCGGGGATGGGACGGCTCCTCCTCTCCCGTGGGCTCACCCATGGGTGCCACCATTACCTGCTGTCAGGATGGACGGGGGGGAGGCAGAAAAACACACAGTGACAACCAAAGATGCACAAGAAAGACCAGGACGCGGGAGTCCCTCTTTACTCATCGATAGGAAATGTCACAGACACGGTAAAAATTGAGGGGGGGAGGGAAAAAAAACAAAAAAAAACAAAGAACAAACAAGGTCAGCTGGTCAATGACAAAACCAAGGGGGTGGGGTGCTTAGAACACAAAAAAAAAAAAAAAGTGTAAAAAAAAGTTAAAAAAAATAAAAATAAGGTCAACAACCAGTTCTGTCAAGCAAAAGGCTGCCGGGGCCGGCAGCACGGCTCGGCTCGGCTCGGTCCCACCGTGCTCCCGCACGGCTCCGGGGCCGCGGCGTTCCTGAGAAAGACGGAGAGGATGGAGAGGCTCAGGAGGGGCCCCGCGGCCGCTTCTGCATGCGGAACTTCAGGCCGGGCGGGCGAGATTTCGGGGGCTGCAGCTGCTGCTTCTTCTCTGCAAAGAGAGAGGGAGAGAAGGGGGGGAGCGATGGGGAGGGCGGGGGGCGGCGGGGCCGGGGGCGGCGGGGGCATGCGGAGCGGCAGCAGCAGCGGGGGGACCCCCGGGAGCCCCTCTGTGAGGAGGAAGAGGAGGAGGAGGAGGAGCAGGGTTGAGGATGGCCTTTGGGTGGCTTCCTAGGGGGGTCGGAGTGGCAGCGGAGTGGGTTCGGCATCACCCCGAGCTGGCCGGATTTACCTCCCACCGCTACCCGCGCTCCCCACCGCCGCTGTCGGGGTTTGCCAGCTCCTCCCCGAAGCCCCCCAAAGACCCCCTGGCTCCCCCTGCCCTCGGGGCGGTGTTTTGGGGAGGGAAGGCAGCAGCAAGCGGGCAGCGGAGCCCCCCCAGCGTCCCGCTCCGAGCTCCCCGCGATGCCCGAGAGGAGCCGGGATCCCTCCCGGGGCCAGCGGCGGGGGGGTCCTGCCCCGGGCCCCCCGAACCCGGCCGCCTCTCAAGCGGAGGCTGTAACCTGGCGTCTCCTCGGCCCGAGGGAGGAGTGAGCGAGGCGGAAAGGCCCTTTTGGGGTTGGGAAGGAGCTTCTGGGCTCAGAGCAGCTCCAGCACCGCGGGGGGAGCTGGCGGGACGGAGGGAGCCTGGGCGGGCGAGACAAGAGCAGGAGAGAGTTGGCAGCGGAGAGAAGCCCACCGGCTCGGCGTTTTTAGCCATCCTTTATCCCGAGCGGCTCGCTCGCCGCCGCCACCCGGCATCTGCCGTGCGCTCACCGTTCTCCCCCGCGGGCATCCGGCGGCTCCGGGCTGCTCAGCGCCCCGCAGCCCCCCGGCAGCGCCTCTCCCCCCGCTGCGGACCCCCCAGCGCCGGCCGGGGCTCGGCCGAGGGCCGGGGGACGTACCTGGATGCCGACACCGTGGCGGATTCCCGGGCGGAATGCGCATCCTTAACCCGCG